TAGGTAGGCTACAGCTGATGATTTCCAGACCAAAAAGTGTTCAAAACACACCAAAACACACACAAAACCGTCAAAAATGTTATTACTGCTTGTCATAAGAAAACACAATGCGCTCACATTTAAGGTCCTCTTCGCACAAAACACTCATTCAGTGCGCTATACACACACTTTAACAGGGCAGATCTAAATGATATTAGCCTAAATATTTAAGATGATTACTTATGTATGCAATGATTTATTGATATTAAATTATTATTTAGATTTTACTCCAGACAGACGTGTGTATATAAGGTAAGTTGCAGATGTGTGGGAATGGGAATAATTGTGAGTTTTGAACACTCTTTGGTCTGGAAATCATCAGCTGTACCTGGTGAGTGACATCGAAATGGCTGCTGTGAATATGGATATTGGCCAAACTGATAAATCCAGGTGTGCCTTACACTACAGCAGTCACATCAACAATGATCAGGCTTTAACTCTGGCACAAGGCATCAAATGGCAACAAATATCTTTAGTAGTGAACACGGTCCCTTTACAAATAATAGTAATAAGGAGCCTGTTACCGTTACCTAAATCCGTTGCTTTGCATCCTCCGACAGATGGTCTGTTGGCCTATGCCGAACAGCTCCGCTATTCCCTTCACTTTGGCTCCTGACGTCACTCTCCTGCGCCGCTCAGATTGCCACATCGTTTTCGAATTATGGGCACTATTTTGCGGGGCAGACCACGAAAATGAAATAGCAATGTCCTCTTTGTTTTCTTTTTGATTATGGCATAAAATGTGCAGTCTTGAAGAAGAAAATGAAAATGCAAATAGGTTGATTGATTATTAATTTTATTTATGAGTCAAATAATGCAGCCATATTCTTAAAATGAAAAAGCATTTCTGCAAATGCATTTTAATTTAAATATTGGTCACGATTCTCTTCCATACACCAGGATCTTGAGAGACTCCTTGGAAACTACGTAAATGGTCCATTTTGCCTGTTTTGTAAAGTAATGTAATATCTTGTGCCCTCTTCACCTGATATATCCCCCCAAACCCAACTTTTGTTACACCGAGAAATGTACTGTCTCTGTAAATTCACTCTGTGCCTTCTCTTCTTTTTTTCACTTTTATTTTTATTTATTATTATTGTTATGATTATTATTATTATTATTATAACTTTTTTTCCTTTCCTTTCTTTGTTTAAAAAAAAAGAAAAAAGAAAAATATTGTATTGGTAACCTCTGTTATGTTATGTCATGTGAATTTCGCCCATTGTAACTTTTTGCCAATAACAATCTAAATTTAAAAAAAAAAAAGGATTTGTTTCTGGAGCGTGTGTGTGTGTGTGTATGTAATATTTGTGCGGATGTTGGGAGGATCTTGAGAAGTGGGGACCTGTAACTATGTCATTCATATCAACATAACAATTTTGTGGCAAATACCATATTCCTCTTTTGAAGAACTTTTTTATCATGTCTTGGTATTCAGAGCATGTTCTCAGCTGCCATCTCCAGTCACTTTGGGCCTTCGCCTGATATATCCCCCCAAACCCAACTTTTGTTACACCGAGAAATGTACTGTCTCTGTAAATTCACTCTGTGCCTTCTCTTCTTTTTTTCACTTTTATTTTTATTTATTATTATTGTTATGATTATTATTATTATTATTATAACTTTTTTTCCTTTCCTTTCTTTGTTTAAAAAAAAAGAAAAAAGAAAAATATTGTATTGGTAACCTCTGTTATGTTATGTCATGTGAATTTCGCCCATTGTAACTTTTTGCCAATAACAATCTAAATTTAAAAAAAAAAAAGGATTTGTTTCTGGAGCGTGTGTGTGTGTGTGTATGTAATATTTGTGCGGATGTTGGGAGGATCTTGAGAAGTGGGGACCTGTAACTATGTCATTCATATCAACATAACAATTTTGTGGCAAATACCATATTCCTCTTTTGAAGAACTTTTTTATCATGTCTTGGTATTCAGAGCATGTTCTCAGCTGCCATCTCCAGTCACTTTGGGCCTTCGCCTGATATATCCCCCCAAACCCAACTTTTGTTACACCGAGAAATGTACTGTCTCTGTAAATTCACTCTGTGCCTTCTCTTCTTTTTTTCACTTTTATTTTTATTTATTATTATTGTTATGATTATTATTATTATTATTATAACTTTTTTTCCTTTCCTTTCTTTGTTTAAAAAAAAAGAAAAAAGAAAAATATTGTATTGGTAACCTCTGTTATGTTATGTCATGTGAATTTCGCCCATTGTAACTTTTTGCCAATAACAATCTAAATTTAAAAAAAAAAAAGGATTTGTTTCTGGAGCGTGTGTGTGTGTGTGTATGTAATATTTGTGCGGATGTTGGGAGGATCTTGAGAAGTGGGGACCTGTAACTATGTCATTCATATCAACATAACAATTTTGTGGCAAATACCATATTCCTCTTTTGAAGAACTTTTTTATCCTGTCTTGGTATTCAGAGCATGTTCTCAGCTGCCATCTCCAGTCACTTTGGGCCTAACGAGACATCACTGGACTGGAGAGCGAAGAGTCAGGAGAGGGCTGACCATGTGATGACTGCTGCCCAGTGGATTAATGAACATCTGAACAACATGCTGAAGGGCCAAAACCCCTGTGATCAATCCGATGTCGACCATATTCTCAGGTAGTGTTCAAATGTTTTTCAAGTTATTATTTGAGGTATATGTCTCTGGAGGGGTAAGAAGAGATTTTGGTGCTGTTTTTTGTAATAATCATTGTTGTTTCATATTTGTCCACACTTTGTATAAAATATTTTTTTCATGTTGGCTACTATTTGGTATGTTGTCTTATATTCAATTGTGGTGGTCAGTCTGTTTCCAAAAATTACTAGCCTTAAATTATTCTGTTACAGTGGAACATTTTGGTGTACTTTGTAATAAATGGTGCTGGAAAAGCTTTTATAATGTGAGAGTAAATTCTGGGAAAAGCAAAATACTTGCAATTTTTCATTTATATAAAAATGTCTTATTCATTGCATCTGTTGGTGGGGCTGTTTAATGAGTTAGCTTTGCAGTACACAAAAAAAAACATGCATACAGTACTTCCCCGGTTCTAGGACTCTTTCTGAGCAGACTGTATTTTAAAATACATTACCCTTGGTTTGTAAAAATACATAAGAAATGTTGGAAGTCTGAAATTCATTAAGTTAACAACTCTGATAGTTATTCACATTAGTCTTGAGTTCAGTCATCTTAATCAAAAACTACAAGCTAAACAAACAAACAAGAATAAATATGTAGTGCTTTGTTTTTGTGCATTAGGATCCAGTGGGGTTGCATATAGTTAGCTATGCATTGACCTCCTGGAATGGGGTCATGCCAGGGTTAAAGGACAACTTCGGCATTTTTCAACCTGGGCTCTATTTCTCCATGTGTATGTGTGCGTATGATTCATGGGTACCACTCGTTCTAAAATTGGTTCAGTATTGAGCCGCGAAACGAGCTAAAATGGTAATGGGGGCAAATATGTCCTATAAAAGTGCTTTTTTCGCCACTGACCTGTTCAGATTGCCAGTGCTATCTCTGTAAATAGCATATGGTAGCGGCCCTGGGGCAGTGGTGAGTGTGAATGAGTGGAGTCAGCTGTCAGTCAGTGTTGGAGCAGAAAGGCGGAAGGCGTCCCCGCTTGGTAATGTAAATGAGTATGTGTGTGTGTGAAGTGTGTGTTACGCTAGAAGAGTCAGAGGACGGAGTCTTTTACATGCTACCCCCTGGAGTGTTACCAGAGTTTTTGGAGTGCTCAAATAAATGGGCCTTTTACCCGAACGCAAGAACAGGATGTCGCGCAACACCCCGTACAGCTTTCACAGGCTACCTTTGTTGGATGGCGAGATGCTCAAGTTGTTGCTAGTTGTGCTACAAATGGATGCTAACACTCCTCTCCAGACACTGCGCCTTGCAGACCATCAGGTCTGCAATGCTCACTTCTCCTAAGATGACTACTGCCAGCTGAAGAAGAGAAGACATCTAATCCCGAAACACCTCTTCCTCAAGAAAACGGCTGTCCCACGAGTAGAGACAGCTACAGACACAGTGGAGCAAAGCTCATGACATCACACAGCCCAGAGGTAAGGGAAAGGCTAAGTTAGCATGCTATTTACAGAGATAGCACTGGCGATCTGAACCGGTCAGTGGCAAAAAAAAAAGCACTTTTATACGGACGAATTTGTCCCCATTACCATTTTAGCTCGTTTCGCGGCTCAATACTGAACCAATTTTAGAACGAGTGGTACCCATGAATCATACACACACATACACATGGGGAAATAGAGCCCAGGTTGAAAAATACCGAAGTTGTCCTTTAATGCTTTGCATTTGTTTGTCATTGTATTGTAGCCTATCATATCATCATGATGCACTAAGCCCCTCTCATGGTTTGCTTCTGAATTATGTCTCATGATCCAATAGAAAAGCTTAATGAGTTACGAGGCATCAGTACAGGGGCTGGGGTGAACAATGCCATATTTGTGTTGCCCTGCCTGTCTTGTAATGGATTCAAATTTTGAACTACATGCAGTGGAAATATTTCAGAAATAACAAATACATAATGTCTTATATTAGTTGTAGTTCATTAGTTTGGATAGATTGATAAAGTACTTTATTTATCCCAATGGAAAATGCAGTTTTAGACTAAAATATACTGTGTCTGCTATGTTATACTCAGTCTGCATCCTTAAAGGAACACTATGCAGGATTTTTCTAAAAAACATGTATGGGGCATTCTACCGAAATGTGTGCAAAGTTAGGCTGGAAATATTTTGAAATTTTGTATGTTTTATTTCCAAAACTTTGTCCCTATATATATATATTGTACCATATGTAAAGGTCACATATCTAGTAAAATGACGAAATGAAGTAAAATTTTTATATTGTATTTTCAGGCTGTTTTGGAATGTTTTTCCTCTCCCCAAATTTGTCACTACCAAAACATATAGTATTATATTATACAAAAAAAATATATCAACCTGTTATGCTTGTTCCTTCCCTTGTCTAAAGATTTAATTTTTTACAAATTTTGACTGAAGGTTTTCACAATTAAATCTATAAATATTAATATTTTAACAAATTTTGAAGTTCAAATTATAGAATTCTTCAAAATCTAAATGCAGTCTTTCTTTGTAAAATGCATAACACTGATCAGATTGATTTCAGAGTTAATAATTGATGAAACAGAACATAAATGTAACCGATTAGCATCATAATACTTTAGTTGATAACTCAGTATACTTTATTTTTTACAAAACACCCAGTGTTTTGGTAGTGACTGCACTGTTTCGGTAGTGACTGTCCTGCTTCGGTATAATAGAGGAGAGGAGAACAGAGTAGAGCAGAGAAGAGCAAAGTAGAGTAGAGTAGAGCAGAGTATAGTAGAACAGAGTAGAGCAGAATATAGTAGAGTAGAGCAAAGCAGAGCAGAGTAGAACAGAGCAGAGCAGAATAGAGTAGACAAGAGTAGAGTATAGAGTAGAGCAGAGCAGAGTAGAGTAGACCAGAGTAGAGTAGGGTAGAGAAGAGTAGATTATAGAGTAGACCAGAGTAGAGTAGAGTAGGGTAGAGAAGAGTAAATTATAGAGTAGACCAGAGTAGAGTAGAGTAGAGCAGATTATAGAATAGAGCAGAATATAGTAGAGTAGAGCAAAGTAGAGCAGAGTAGAACAGAGCAGAGCAGAATAGAGTAGAGTATAGAGTAGAGCAGAGCAGAGTAGAATAGACCAGAGTAGAGTAGGGTAGAGAAGAGTAGATTATAGAGTAGACCGGAGCAGAGTAGAGTAGACCAGAGTAGAGTAGAGTAGAGCAGATTATAGAGTAGAGCAGAGCATAGTAGAGTACAGCAGAGCAGAATAGAGTAGAGCAGAGCATAGTAGAGTAGAGCAGAGTAGAGAAGAGTATAGTAGAGCAGAGTATAGTAGAGTAGAGCAAAGTAGAGCAGAGCGGAGTATATCAGAGTAGAGCAGAGTAGAGCAAAGTAGAGCAGAGTAGAACAGAGCAGAGTAGAGCAGAACAGAGCAGAATAGAGTAGAGCAAAGTAGAGTAGAGTAGAGCAGAGCAGAGTAGAACAAAGTAGAGAAGAAAAGAGCAGAGTAGAATAGAGTATAGAGTAGAGTAGAGTAGAGCAGAGTAAAGCAGATTATAGACTATAGCAGAGCAGAGCATAGTAGAGTAGAGCAAAGCAGAGCAGAATACAGTATAGAGTAGAGTAGAGTAGATTATAGAGTAGACCAGAGTAGAGTAGACCAGACCAGAGTAGAGTAGAGTAGAGTAGAGCAGAGTAAAGCAGAGTATAGACTATAGCAGAGCAGAGCATAGTAGAGTAGAGCAAAGCAGAGCAGAATAGAGTAGAGTAGAGAAGAGTATAGTAGAACAGAGTAGAGCAGAGTATAGTAGAGTAGAGCAGAGTAGTGCAAAGCAGAGCAGAGTAGAACAGAGCAAGACTTTGGACCACAAAATTATGGGGTTTAACTACTGACCGTCCCATTTTGTCACTACCGAAATGATCATGTCACTACCAAAACTTTACCATAGGTTTCTGTAGTGACTGTTTCGGTAGTGACAATCCTAGCTATTTTTCAGGATAACTAAAGAATGCTAGCAGTCCCATGGCTAACAAGCCCATGTTTAAAGAGTTGTTCACACAGAAAAACATAATTTTGCATAAACCCCCCAAATTTTTACATAATTGAAGAGATCATGTGTTCGGTAGTGACAGTTTTTAAAAGTTACACACTGATTTTCAGACTTTGGAAGACATTTATTTAAAAAATGATGGGAGTCAGCGACTTACCATGCAGCCATCTGGGACAGGGGTGCAGTACTATCTCCCTTCTCAGAAATTCAGGGGTGTGGCTAAAATCCAGACTCAACCGGTGCATTAAAACTCTTGTGTTTCGGTAGTGACATGAAAACAAGGGACACTATTTTTTTTTTAGCATAGTTTCTTAATTTAAAAATTAATCCCACAATAAATCTAAATCTCTCAACTTCTATTTAAAGGCGCTGTATGTAAGAATGTGGCCAAAACTGTTACTGCACTCAAATTCAAAATACTGCCGTGAGTCGTGTCCGCCCCCCCCACCCCTACAGATTAGAGGTTGCTGGACAGCGGCACGCTGGAGACTGATTTGTTTGCCCATTGGCGGCTGCCATGGCAGGGCCGCGTCGCCATGTCCTTGATCTTCGGTTTTCCAGCGGACCATTCGAGCAAGTCCGGCTTCTCTGCTGCTAACGCTGCTGCCGGAATACAGCTCATGAGGAGCCGGCTGCTAATGCTATGTACCGGGACACTGCTAATGCTGCTTGCCGTGCTGCTGTAGCTCAGTCGTAACTGTAACTGATGCTGAGACTCTATTGACTGTGTGACTGGTAGACAACTGTGGGTGGCGCAACAGGCCTTCACAAATTCAAAACATAAACATGATTTGCGGACCGTAAAACCTTTTTTTAAATGCGAATATTCTGGCTGTACTATTGTTGTCGGTGAGATCAGTATTATTCCTTAGTGTCTGTGACATATTAGGAGGATTGTATGACTGTTTCCTTTATATTTCTTACATATAGCTCCTCCTAAACTTAATCACAAAGATGTTTTAAATTACACTTTCGAAAAAAATATGAAAAATGTTTTAAGGGTTATTTACATGAATTGCATTTTAGAGGTCAGGGTTGAGGACAGCTACTTCCCAATAGAAAGTACCCTATAAATGGTGATTTTGTATATATTTAGCTTATCACTTTTTCATTTAATGTCCTGGGTTTGAATATGTCATAACATAATCTTTGTAAATATCTATGTCTGAATACTCAATTTTATTATTTTTGTTGTTTTTTTGTTAAGGGACAGCACTTTGCATAAAATTGGTAGAATGCCCCATCTGGACTCATACAAAAGTAATCCTCCTTAAGATCCACTAGAAGTGTGTGGTGGTGTATTTATCTGCAGAAACTCTGTCCTCTGTCTGCATTTTCTCATTTTGCTATGTTTTGGACATTGCTGGGCACAGATGAGATTGGGACATTATAAAAAGATACCAGGTGCCAGTCAGAAAGCAGCACACCTCTAAGAGGAAGCTATGAAATTTGACANATTGCTGGGCACAGATGAGATTGGGACATTATAAAAAGATACCAGGTGCCAGTCAGAAAGCAGCACACCTCTAAGAGGAAGCTATGAAATTTGACAGCCCTGAAAAAAATGCCTTACTATATTGTGAGGCAAAACGCCAAGTGGACAGACCTGGGGTTGGCTTTCTTTTTTACAGTTGATACTGTTTCTGTTGGCTTCATTACACCATAACCTCCAACGTGCACTGGGGCAGTTTGCAGCCAAGTGTGAAGAGGCTGGGATGAGAGTCAGCCCCTCCAAGTATGAAGCCATGGTTCTCTGCCAAAAATTGGTAGATTGCCCTCTCTGGATTGGGGAAGAGTACTGCCCCAAGGGAGGAATTTTAAGTATCGCATGGTCTTGTTCACAAATACGGGTAAAATGGAGCATGAGATGTACAAGCGGTTTGGTGCGGCGTCTGCAGCGATGCGGGCACTACGCTCAACTGTCATGTTGAAGAGGGAGCTGAGCTGGAGGGCAAGGCTTTGGATTTATTGGTCCATCTACGTCCCAGCCCTCACCTATGGCCATGAGCTTTGGATAGTGACTGAAAGAATGAGATCGTAGATACAAGTGGCCAAAATGGGTTTCCTCCATAGGGTGTTTGGGATCAGCCTTAGGGATATGATGAGGAGCTCAAACATCCAGAGGGAGCTTGGAATGGAGCCGCTGCACCTTGACATCAAAAGTGGCCAGTTGAGGTGGTTTACTTTGGGCATCTGATGAGGATGCTTCCTGGGCACCTCCCATTAGAGGTGTTCTGGCATGGGTGCAGATCCCGGGGGGAACGGTGGGGACATGCCCCCACCCAATTTCTGAAAAACACAAATTGTCCCCCCCGATTCTAAATAGCCTAAATGACTGAAATTGAACAAATGTATTTTCCGACTCCACATTCCCAATTTTAAAATAAATGAAAATTGTGGAACAAATATTTTTATAAATATATTTTCCAACATGATCAGTTAGTTTAACCAAGCTCAGTTAGGGGCTCATGTTCTGATAATCATCCATATCCACATACAGTAGTCCCATATACTGGGAGAAAGGGAAGATGATGAGGAGAATTGGGAATCTGTGAGAGAGAGATAAGAACGTGAGTGGATATAACATGCCTGAGACCCTGAAACTATAAGTAGCATTAACTAACAGCAAAGCAGTGAAAAAGGGGGTGATGGCTGGCTCCATGTACTATTGGCTGTTTAAGAGAAATAAACAGTAAAGGTAAGCATATGATTCTCTGTGTAGTGCTTTTTGAATGACTTGGTGATGGTGATGAGCCTCTATGAAATCGTGAAATATGCTGGCAATCTCAAGTGCTCCGTGGGTATGATTTGCACACGTGCAGTTAACAAAAAGAATCACAACTGATTATGTTCCCCCCAGAGTTGTCATCAGATCTGCACCCATGTGTTCTGGGGAGACGTTAACAAAGTTGAATCATAGTGAGTAGTTCGCTTCTTGTTGCTAGTGAGGACCAGCCTACTTCTTTATAGTACACATTGAAAAAAGTGGAACTACAATTCCAGGAAGGCTATCCCAGAAGCATGTGGCAAGGTCTATAAATGTGACAGATTAAAAGCCCCCCTCAGCAGCACTGAGAGGCTCAGGAAGAGCCTCTACCCTCAGGACACAAGGATCCCAAATGAAGACCCTGCCTAACATTACATTCTTATGATTTAATGTGACAAATTGATTGATTAATTGATGAGTAAATATCTATCACCTGTAATGAAATGTGGGGCACAGTGTTAAACTGTAGAATGGGCAGCATGAGAGTACATGATATTGCCATGTTAAGCATACATAAAGCTTTTTGTGTCATTGAGAGAAGAACGTACTTTACTGTTGTTAGGAAGAAACCTATTTTTATGTTCAGATTCTGTACCAGTTTTCCCCTGAGAAGACTACTATCTATATGAGACTACTGCTAACCAAATTCCCAGGTATTTATACCATTTGATGACTTAAAATATAGGATCATTGTATGTATGGATGTAGGATAAAATCATAAAGTAAAACACATGTCTTATTAGCATTCAGCACAAGTTTGAGATTATGCAGAGATGTCTGAAGTACATTGAAGGCAGACTGTAGACATAGCTTGAGTTAGAGAAGATCCATATATATACAATACTGTCATCAGCATAGAAATGGATATTATAAGTTTGTCCAGGAGCAATAATGCCATTTATAGAGATCATTAATAATAATAAACCAAGAACAGAACCTTGTGGCATCTCCCTTTTAAATGAGGTTGACCTAAGATCATCAGGAGAGATCACATGTGTTCTAGTTGACATATTAGGTGCTTAGTACTTTAACACTTACATTTATTTGGTGGCTTGTATAATTTTTGCCTCATGAAGAACCTTCTTTACAGATCAGCTTTGTTTAGAGTTTGTTCTTTTCGTGACCCAAAATTTAATTTTGTGTTCTGTTATTGTGCAGTAATTTCTTCATGGCCCGCTACCTGGAGGAGAAAGACATCCGGAACAAGGAAAAGGAAGAACATCGTTCACCCAGTGAGCATGAGGGAGTGTTGTCTTCTCCACTACCCCCACAGATGAAAGCCAAGAAAAGTATTGATAAAGGTAGGGAGTGACTAGTCATTCAGCAGTACTGCCTAATGTTTGGCATCAGTATTACAATTTCTCCACTTCTAAAATCTTGCGTCAGCAGCCAAAATCTGTACCTTAACATTCTTGTGTGTTTGCCTTACACGTTATTTATAGTTCTGCCTTGAATCGACGCGTAGGTTACGGCGTAGGCTCCACGTCGATTTGGAGCCTATGCCATGACCTATGACGTAGCCTGACATGCACCTTCCCAGAATTGTAACTATGCATCACAGTGACACAGACCTCCTGTCTGTCGCTGTATACTGACACCATTTCCCTCAGGGGACATGGAGCTTGTATTTACTTTTAATGTGTGGCTTATCCTTCAGGGATTTATACTTTGGGACTTATCCAGGTTTCATATGAGAAGAAGGAAAGATCGCTGGCCGCTAGGCTAATCAATACAATGTAAAATACCATAGGCTTGTGATAATAACGTTAGCATGTATTTGTTTAAAAAACTTGTAACAGTCGAATATATGAAATGTGCCTTTAACATGATGTATACTGTGTCGCTTAACAGTAACGTCATCAAGCAGCGCTTGTTATCATTTCTGTCTGTTGAGAGCGCACCCAAACGCTGGTCGGACTACACCTATGTGCTCCCACTTTCCTTTATGTCTCTCAACACAACAGTAATGGTTGTAAGTACGTGTGGCAACTATTGTGTTCATGTGTGGAATTGTAGTAGCTGTACAACCGGGCTTGGTAAGGTTGGAGTGTTTTAAGTGGACGTAAAAATAAACGATGAGCATTTGTGAAATCCCACACGTGTGTGAAAGTGAGTTTCTGCCTGTCCTCTAACTCCAAAGAGCTACACGGACCCAAAACCATTACAAACGTGTTTAGTACAGGGCAGTTGTTTTGTCAGTGAACCTTTTGAGTTGTAATGGAGCCAAACTGCATGCCGTTACCTTTGTTTTTGTCATTGTCCCTGGTTTTATGTCCCTGGTTTTATATGAGAAGAAGAAAAGATTGCTAGTTGCTAGGCTAATTTATACAATGTAAAATGCCATAGGCTTGTGCTAATAACGTTAGCATGTTGTATTTGTGGGGAAAATGTGTCCAGATTAATACTAGTGTTTGTCTGTGAATGCTGCAAGTTGTAGTGAAGCCAATTTGTGTACTTCTTTTTCAAATTAATTCTTTTAAGCCATGTTTAATGTGTGTTTTGAATCAACTAAACTTTTTTTTTAATAATATCTTTATTGAAGCCCTCCCTCCCAAACCAACCCATGCCAGTCATCACCCTCCCGATCCCTCCCCAGCTAATCCATCGCTTACCCCCCCCCCCCAAAAAAAATAAAATAAATAAATAAAATAAAAAGTGGATAAATATAAGAGTGGTAAGAAGTACAATAAGAAGTACAATAAATAAAAATAAAAATTAAATTAAATTAAATTAAATTAAATTAAAGCGGAGGGTTACAGTACGTAGGCAGTAGCAGACAAGACATCAACAGTGGAGTACAGTCTTTTCATCAAATACATCATGTTGGGAAAATTTTTCTGATACCTGTTGTTGTTACACCATTAGTGGTCTTTGCCCAGCCGACCGTGTGATGTTTTGTAAGTATCCCTTAAAGCCACTCCAACATTTGTCAAAAAGATGGTTGTTTTTTTTTTTTAAGTTGAACATAATCTTTTCAGAGGCCATATATGAAGAAGTTTCTTTCAGCCACATAGAGACAGTAGGAGGGTCCTCACTCTTCCATAATATAGCTATGCATTTGTTTCCCAATCAGAGCTAGTTTAATAAAGCGTATACTTTTCCTCCTGTTAATAGGCAGGGACGACGAGTCTAACAGAACCAGTCTTGGCGAGTGAGGGATCTCAGCTCCTGTGATCTTGTTTAGTGCATCCAAAATATAGCCCCAATATTGTCCCAATTTTGTACAAGTCCAAAACATATGGATGAGGCTTCCCGTTTCTATCTTACATCTAGGACACAGTTCTGAGATGGTACTGTTCATCTTGTGGAGTCTTTCTGGTGTAAAATAAATTCTATGGATGAGATTGATCTGTAAAAGTTTGTGGCGGCTATTTTAAGAGAAATTTTGAGCTCCCAGACAAATTTCTTCCCAATCACCGTCTTCAAAAGTGAAATTAAGGTCTTGCTCCCACTTAGCCCTGGATTTGAAGGTTTTGTTTGCTGAGAGGACTAATATTCTGCCATAGATTAAGGATAAAATACCCTTCGGGTGTTGAATGTTTTTAAAGATTTCATCAGTTAAAGGAAAGTCTAGAGGATTTGGGTGGCCCGTTGTGTGCTAATGTAGTGCCTAATCTGTAGGTATTTAAAGAAATGTGCAGCAGGGAGGCTGAGGGCGTCTCGTAACTGTTCGAAAGATCTGAGTATGTTATTTTCATAAAGGTCTCCAAATGTTTTAATTCCTTTATTATGCTACATCTTTGTGAGCCCATCCCTTAGTACAGACAGCAAAGTGGGATTATTATGGAAAGGGGTGTTTCTGTGTAGTGAGTTTACACTTTTGAGACGCGATTGTATAACTGACCATAATTTGGATGTATGATTTATAAATGGGTTGTCCATTTTATTCTTCAAAGTATAATATGACTGGATGAAGGGGATGCTGGCTAGCGGCACATCTGCTGCGTGGAACTGTTCTATTTGCCTCCAAGCAGGAGGGTTGCTCATCTCTGTCTGCCAAAACCAGATAGCTCTTAACTGGGCAGCCCAGTAGAAAAGTTTAAAACTGGGGAGCTTCAGTCCACCATATTGAGGAGTGTTATATAGGGTTTTGGAATCAACTAAACTTAACAGCACTTCACAGAAACCTCTGACGCTGACTAGTGTTTTGGAGGTGTAACTGCAGAGTGACACAGACACACACAGTGAAAATGCTCACAACGGCATAGGCGACATGTGTAGGTGATGTGCGTAGGCTACGTGCATAGGGTCAATGCACAACCATAAATCGCTCTCTAATGGGGAAAATAAATTATATAAAAAAATTTCCATTTGAATTATTTCTTGATAAAAACGCAAGATTTCTGTTTGTCGTGAAAAAATATTTTGCATATTGCAGTTGTCACAGTGGAGTATTAAAGTCTAACATTTCACTCATATGGATGGCAATGCCCCTTTTATCACATTAGAAGTAAGTTAACAACTAGGGCTGAGGAGTATGGATAATTGTGATATTTTTAGGCTTTACACAATACAATACGCAATACACAATATATATCTCAATATTTTGAAATCTCCTCTAAACTACTGTAGACTATTAGAATACAAAATTATTCAATGAACTGCAGTGACAATTACGTTAAATTAAAGAAGCTACTATAGCAAAAATTAACTATTGTCATAATGAAGTTAAACAAAGTACAGTTATAATAAAGTATTAAAAAAATACTGTTACATTAAAGTTAAGTATCGTTATGATTAAATCAATCAAATAATAAATAAAATAAAGAAATCTGGTGCTTTTATTTTGAAGTGTTGATGTTTTTGCTGTGAACTTGAAGCTTCCGGTAAACAGTTAAATGTTAGCAATGAGCAGAAAGAAAGATTTAGTCAGTGTTAGCTGGAACCAAACTAAAAGCTCTCCAGTTCATATCTTAATATTTGCTGTTACACCATGGTAGCAAATATGACTAAGTAGTAGCAATTTGGATTTCGATTGTTGAGATATATACTATGTATGTATATGAGAGTATAGGTATGTCATAATTATAATCATAATGTGTATAATAATAGTAGAAATATGACTAATAACAGCAATGGGCAGCAGGCAGGACCACAACAGCAGGTGCAACCACAGCCCGTGATAAGAAAAAACAAAACAGCTCCGGGGAAGAGGTCAGTTTATGTTAGTAGTTAGTTGAAATAAAGCTTTATTTTAGGTCACATTTTCATTATTAAGATAATGTATAACTGCATAGTATCTTAATTTCTCAAAATATAATGTTGGGAACTTGTGGTTCAAAGTATTAAAATGGCTATAGGAAAACAATATATTAAAAATAATTATTCATTCTTTTAAATTATATGCTTTAATTTACATTAAACCAACCCATGGGGCAACATTCCCGAAAAGAGAAAAACGATAGTAAATAAATTAATTCAGTCTCATCAAATATACTAAATTATCAAATTGGATCTCTGATTAATAGTTTAAATCATAACTATAATCAAAATTACACACTTTATATCCATGTACAAGTGTGGGTGTGTATATGTGTGTGAGTGTGTGAGAGGGAGAGTGTGTGTGTGTGTGTGTGTGTGTGTGTGTGTGTGTGTGAGAGGGAGGGTGTGTGTGTATGAGGGGTCAAACGTTTCACCCAACCACACTACAACGCGTCACTTGAGCCGGCTTAGGACACATCAGATCTAATCAAACCCAGCGTGAGCGCACGCCTACATTTTACATAGGGTTACTATGGAGACACAAGTGTTACACACATGCCCGCTACATGACGCACAGGCGTTGTTCGCTCCACTCACATGACACGCTCACACATCTTGTCAGTACACGTGCACAGCACGTTACACACGCTACACATACACTACACCTGCGTGTGCGTGTGAATCTTGCACACACAGTGCATGTACACATCATTAACACCTGAACGCGTCAAATTACTTTGGCAAACTGTCTGTCTCTATAGTTTACACGTGCAGGCAGACGTGTGTGTGTGTGTGCTTCGCAAAAGTGGAATGAATAAATGAATCAAGTCGCTGCAGACATATGCCTGCATATACACACGCATGATTTTTTTTAAACTACTGACCACCCTTGATGTCTGGCTGTGATTTAAAAATATTTAACTAAGATAATATATAGGCTACAACAGCCTAATTGTGAATATAGCCTATGTCCCTCACATTGAATTGGATCCTAAATGCTTCAAAACTCCATCTGTATGTTTTTAATCAATAGTTGTGTTTTCATAAACATTTTTTTTCACATTTTGCCCATCTGCGAATTTGACTGTTTATGGAAACA